GAGTTTGGGATAACGGCCCCTTCCCCGGGGGAGTTCTGTGGGATCAGCGCCAGGGGGAGATCAGGATGTGGCCCCTTCCCCAGGAGTGTTTTTCCGTGGGATCCGCTGGCCCTGGGGATCTCTTTGGGCCTTGCCCCATCGGGGATTTGGGGCTACTCCCTCCTTTCCACCAGGATTCTCCGTCTCCCCCTCGTTCCCTGTGGAATTCCCTGTGGAATTCCCTGTGGAATTCCCACAGAATTCCCACGGCACTGCAGGTGAACAAGGCGGAGGAGGAGTGGGTGACGCGGCCGTGCCAGGATATCCCCCGTTCCCGAGGGGATTTGGGGCGATTCCCTCATTCCCGCCGGGTCGTTCCCTGTGTAACTCCCTGTGGAATTCCCGTGGGATTGCAGGTGAACGAGGCGGAGGAGGAGCGGGTGCGGAGCGAGCGGGAGCACCAGCGGGTGACGCGGCTGTGCCAGGAGGCCGAGGCCGAGGTCCAGGCGCTCCAGAAGTCCCTGAAACGCGTCATCCTGCGCAGCAAACCCTACTTCGAGCTCAAGGCCCAGTTCAACCAGATCCTCGAGGTCATTGGGAGCGCTGGGAGAGGGGCTGGGAATGCTGGGAGAGGGACTGGAAATGCTGGGAGAGGGACTGGGAGCGCTGGGAGAGGGACTGGGAGCTCCAGTTCCACCAGATCTGGGAATTAGAACCAATTTTTTAGGAATCAGAACCAATTTTTTAGTGATCGTAACCTGCTTTTAGGGATCACACCCGATTTTTTGGGGATCACCGCTGATTTTTCAGGGGTTCCAAAGAATTCCCCGGCCCCTCCCGCTGATCCCTCCGTCCCTCTCCCCCCCTCCCAGGAGCACAAATCCAAGGTGACGGCCCTGGAGAGCCGCGTCTCCCAGGCCAAGACGCGCTACTCGGTGGCCCTGCGGAACCTGGAGCAGATCAGCGAGCAGATCCACGCCCGGCGGCTCCAGAGGCTCCTGCAGCGCCGGGAATCCCCGGTGGGAGCCGAGAGCAGCCCCCGGCACTCCAGCCCGGAGTCACGGGGGGCGGATTTGGGGGCGGAGTGTCCGGCCGGAGACTCCCTGTCCGTGCTCAGCCTCCAGACCGTCGCCTCCGACCTGCAGAAGTTCGACTCCGTGGAACACTTGGTGGGAATCTCGGACGCCGCCAGCCTGGGGAGCGACGAGCCCGGGGAGCGGGAGCGGCGCCGGAGCCTCCGGCACCACCGGAGCGTCAGCCTCTGACCCCGAATTCCCGGGAATCCCCGCCCCCAACGCACTCGAAAGGCACCGGGAATTCCACCGAGTTTCTCAGAGTTGTCCCAAAGCCCCCCCCAGAAATTCCCCAAATCCCACAGAAACCCTCCCCGAGTTCGCCCGAACACCTCCGAAATCCCACAGAATCCACCCCAAATTCCCCCAAAATCCCCGCAAATTCACCCAAGACTGGTCCAGAATTCCACAAAAAAATCCCCCCAAACTTACCTGAAATCCCGCAAAAATCCAGCCAAAGTTCCCCCCCAAATCCACCTGAAATTCCACCAAAATCTTCCCCAAATCCGCCCAAATCTACCCCAAAATCACCCCCAAATTCTGCCACCAAAATCCACCTAAAATTCCCCCCAAATCCACCCCGAGTTAGCCCAAAATTCCTCCCCAATCCACCCAAAATTCCCACAAAATTCACCCCAAATCCCACAAAAATCCACATAAAATTCCCCCCAAATTCACCCCAAAATTCCCCAAATCTGCACAGAATCCAGCAGAAGTTCCCCAAAATTCCCCCCAAAATCCACACAAATTTTCCCCCCAAACTCTGCCAAAATTCCCCCAAAATTCTCCATACTTCCACAAAAAATTCCAGCAAAATTTCCACAAAAATCCACCCAAAATCTACCAGAATTCCCCCAAATTTCCCAAAATTCCCCCAGATCTACCCAAAATGCACCCAAAAATTGACATCAATCCCAGGGAATCCCAAAAAATCCTGGGATTGGTGGGTGGTGCCATCATGTCCCGTGGAATTCCTGGATGAGGCTTGGAAGAGCCTCTTGGACGGTGTCGGTGCCTGGATTTGGGATCCTGGGGGCGACCTTCTGGAATCTGGGGGGTTTAGGGGATAAATTCCTGAAATTTGGGGGCATTTGGGGTTAAACTCCTGGAATTTGGAGGATTTTAGGGTTAAATCCTGGGAATTGGGGCTTGTGTGTGTCTTTAAATCCCTGGAATTTTGGGGAGGTTGGGGATAAACCCTTGGAATTTGGGTGCTTTTGGGGTTCACATCCTGAAACTTTTGGGGATTTGGGGGATTTTCCCAAAGTTGGGGAGTTCTGGGATTACATCCCTGGAGTTTGGGGGATTCATCACCTAAAATTTTGAGGGATTTGGGGTTAAACTCTTGGAATTTGGGAAGTTTGGGGGATTGAACTCTTGGAATTTGTGGGTGGTTGGGATAAATCCCTGAAATTTGGGGGGTTATCCCCAAAATTTGGGAAGCTTTGGGGTTAAAATCCTGGAATTTGGGAGTTTTGGGGAATTTTGGGGGGGAAGGGGTGGAATAAATCTCTGGACTTTGATGGATTTGGGGATTCACCCCAAAAATTTGATGGGTGAATTGAGGAGGGGGAGGCGGATCCAAATCCCACAGAATTCCATATTCCCGTCACTGGGATGAGCTGGGAACACCCTGAGTGGGGGTAGGGACCCTCCTTTAACCCCATTCCCGTGGAATTCCAGCTTTTCTGGGGAGAAATCCCCCCTTTTCCCAGCAGAAGCCGCGTCAGGAGCCGAATTGCACTAAAGGGGGGGTCGGGAATTTTTGGGATCGGGTGGGGGGGCTGTGATGAGAATTCCCGGGTTCGAGGCAGCCCCGGGGGTCCCTCCAGGGACTTGATCCCAAAAAAAACCCACTCCCCACCCCCCTGGGATGAGATTCCGGCACCTGGGAACGAGGAGGGGCTGGAAAAACCGGCCCCGAATATTCTTAATATCAATAAAAATGGTTATTGTTGTAATTCTGTGGGTCCTTCTCTCGCCATTCCCGGCATTCCCAAAGCACTTCTCCCTCCCCACACGGACACTTTTGGGACGAACCCTCTTTATTTTTGCTGGTTTTCCTTTTTTTTTTTTTTTTTTTTTTTTTATTCTCCCCCTTTTTTGTGTGTTTTCCTCCTTTTATTTACGTTTTTCCCAATATTTTTGGTGTTTTCCCCTTTTTTTAATGTTCTTCTCCTTTTTCTTTTCCCTCTTTTTTTTTTTTTTTTTTTTTTTTT